CTCCGCGCTGAGGAGGATCCGCCTCCTCCCGGTTTTGCTTGCATTCCCTCGGCCTCTGCTTCATGTGGCCTTGTACGTCTGCTCCCGGCGTCAGTAGTGGTGCTCTTCTTTGCCTGTGTTGATGCTGTTGTTGTCGTTGTTGTTGTTGGGCGCTTCTTGGGGCCCCCTGGGGGACAGGGCCTCCTCAGGTGGGCCACTGCCAACTTAGGCGGGTTGCCCACAACAGGAAGCCAATCGCGATTCTCAATAAGCTTTCGGGGGAAAAGCCCTGAAATGCAGCAGCAAATAGAACAAGAGTGCAGTTGCCTCAGCTTTAAGGCGATATTCTCCTAGCAAAATTCCCCTGTCAAAGTTGTTCGAGGCGTTTAGAGACGCAGTTGTTGTACACAGAAAAGGGAGAGAGGGCAGCACTTAGAGACTGCCATTAGTTGAGTAACATCAGATCTAAACATTATTCTATTGCTGTTTCTCAGTCTAGTTCTATTTTCCGGAGGATTACCAAGCGCTGAATTGCTCACGAACAGGCAGATAGATCGCGTGCTGTGCACGAAAATCTCAACCCACCTGGCAGCGCAAACCAGTGAAAGATGCCTTGAATGATGTGCTCGTTTCCCGGCTTCCCAAGAGCATCAAAGACGCACTTTGGCACCGTCTGCCCATTTGGGAATACCCAGCCGCTGTCGCGCACTACGAAGACCGTCACCGGGCCCGATCGTCCCATCTGGAGACACAGGACATAAACGACGAGGCATAAGGAGCAGGTTTCACTGAACATATGGCACAGACAGTCAGAGAAGAGAACATTTCATGGAGAAGCTTAGGCACAGCACACATAAACGGACTCAAACTAACCGTCTTAACGAGTAGAGCATTGTTTTGGAAGCGCGAAACAACAAGTAGGGAGCAGGCCAACCGACTCGGCAAGGGCATGAAGCATACACCAGTAGTAGCAGAATCCACGCAAGCAATGGCAGCAAAAAGCAGTGTATGAAACTTCCATCGGCACAAAGAAGCCAAGCAGAAGGAAGCGCATCAAACGATATTTCCATCAGAATGATCCCGCACATTGAACGCGAAAAGGAC